ATTCAGAACAACTTTGTTTGCAAGGGGAAGTTATGTTGTTTAAATATATCCACTCTCACTTTTGTTTGTAATTTTTTTGTGGTTTAACATTGGTCAATAACACCTGTTCTTCAAGTAGCACAGGGTGTACAACTTGACAAACCAGCAAAAGTACTGAACAACAAGTCACGAACGTCAAAAAAGAACCACAGGTCTGATGAAGATGGTGAGTAATTGAATGTTTATTTCATTTACAGTATTCAGCTCTCTCATATAGTCATCATGTCTCAAAACAAAGATGCTCTGAGGTAATTACAGCAAGTGCATTTTTCTTAATATGCAGCTAATATATTCATAAAATGTTCGTTTATTTCCTGAATGTTTGAAAATGTGTTATTTTCATATATTTAAAACTGTGCCAGAAATATCAGCTAAACCAAAATCTCTCTCTCTTTTTTTTTTTTTTTTTTTACATTTTGTGCACGGATTTGGGGGAAAATATATGTAGTGGAGTTACTGTAAACATGTAAAATGTGTTAAACAGGGTTACGTAAAGATCTGTGGGCAAAACACATTTAGTCATTTATCAAGTTGATTCCATAAATCTGAATCCAGCTAAATGTAATTTAACACAGATGTAGCTCTTAATATCATCATAATAATTATCCATTGCTATAGCTCATAAAAAAAAAAAAAAACATCATACACTCTTATGGTGCCTTTTCAAAATATAATATGTACCATTTAGGTACAAATATGCACACTTTAGGGGTACATAAGACACAAATGTATATATTTTTGAAAGAGTGCCTCCCTAGTGTCAGCTATTTGCCTTTTTTCTGAGAGTGCATAATGAGTGCATAAGTTTGTGAATGACAATTACTGTATGTAGACCCATGAAACACTAACCGAAATTATTGTTTCATCATTATTCTAGATTTTAACACACACTATCTTCCTCTTTTAGATGACAGAGAAGACATTCATCATCTTTGCGGGTCTCATCTCTTTGTTGGATGCAGCCGAGTGGTACCCCAAAAGTCTGAAGTGTGACGTTTCTCTGGCTAGTAATGGGAGCGAGGTCACAGTCAACTGTACTGAACGAGAACTAACCGAAATTCCTTTGGGAATCCCAACGAATACCACCAACCTGACCCTAACGATCAACCACATACCCCATATTACGAACGATTCATTTCACAAACTGCAGAACATCACTGAGATCGACCTGCGCTGCAACTGCGTACCAATCAAGGTCGGGCCCAAAGACCGCGTCTGCACCCAGAGCTTGACGATTGACAACGGCACATTCTGGAAGCTAAAGAACCTCAAGTCGCTTTATTTGGATGGTAACCAGCTGTCCAGCATACCCAAGGGCCTTCCTCCCAACATAGTGCTTCTGAGTCTCGAGGTCAATAGTATTTATTCAATCCTTAAGGAGAATCTGACAGAACTGACGAATATCCAAACACTGTATCTCGGCCAGAACTGCTACTTCCGGAACCCGTGCAACACATCATATTACATTGAAAAGGATGCGTTTGTGCAGCTTGACAAGATGAATTTGCTTTCTCTGAAGTCTAACAACTTGTCCTACATCCCCCACCAACTACCATCCAGCCTCAAAGAGCTGTACCTGTACAACAACAACATTCAGACAATAACAGAGATGGACTTTCACAACCTGACGGAGCTGGAGATACTGGACTTGAGTGGGAATTGTCCACGTTGTTATAATGCACCTTTTCCCTGCGTTCCATG